AAAATAAAAAAATAAATAAAATAAAATAAAACAACAACAACAATAAACAAATCAATATTGATTCATTCATCCAATATGGCCGCTTCGATGTTAAAGTCACAGTTTCCAATTCAAGATGGCGTCGAAGTTTTTTCGCGCAGAGCGTCATTTTGATTCATGTTTAACACCACAGACACTATCACTATCACGCAACAATTGACGGCGCTAGTCACTGCGACACTATTTAAGTAGCTGCTTTCAGTTCGTATATTGCTTCCAAATGGCAAAAACGACTAATATCGTCATGGATATTTCAAATGTTCAATGTGATATTATTATGATTATTTCCTTTTTTTATTAAATGAAAATCGAGGCAATTTGCAAGCTTATTATACAAATCACATTGAATAGTCAAACGGCATTAATAGRTTATTCCATTCAGCTAGAAGGCTTAAAATTAAGGAAATGGCTTTCAATTTCGGTAAAAATTCGGCTAAACACATAAAGATGTCCTTAATGTTTGAGATTAGAGGCTAGTTTAGATGGCATGAACAAAGCAGCATTATCTTGTCAACACGAGTATTTCATGACCGGACTAACGACATATAGTCATGAATGCATACTTAGCCAGCGTCCAGACGTCTTTTCTTAAAAGATTGCGTTGATTRTAACATTATTAATTCATGTGCTTTAGAGATATCCCAGTTTAAATCTTCTTTTGAAACCAATGTTAGATTACCTGATGCGCCTTCCGTAAGTCTCGTGTTCGTCTCGAATTTAAACAAGTGAGATAAATTAAAATGRTATAAAGTACTTTAATTATTATTTCAGTTTCAAAAAACCGGCGAAACTGACTTAAAAATGCTGAAAACACATCTCGAATAGGACTCTGGGATTGAATATAGATGACGTCAAATTTCTTAGACTTTGTATATTTTTCAGGTTAAAAAGAAATGGGGTGGAATTCGTCATCGGAAAACGTAAATTATCAAATTCGTCTAACAATTGTTAATTTTTTTTTATTACGGATAGCTTGTCCACTATTTCACCTCATTGTTTACCCATCGAAAGAACTGGAAATCAGAACTGATGATGTTTTGAGGGATTAAAACGTTTTCTGTCTGGCTTTGAAAAAAAAACAACATTAAAATCGATAGCATTCGAATTTTCAGAAGTCTTTTGCCTAC